TTGATCCCAGGTCCCTGGCATCACCACCTGAGCCAAAGGCAGACGCTCAACTTCTGAGTCACTCAGATGTCACATGGGTTTCTTCTTTTATAAATTATCTGTTCATATTCTTGGCTAATTTTTCTACTGGGGTTCTTTTTTGTTTTTTGTTTTTGTTTTTAATGTGCAAGAGTTCTTAGATTCTGGATGTCATCCACAGATCCACAGTTGTTTTCCAGGGGTTGGATTTGAGGTGCCTTTGGTAATCTAGTCTAACCCCATGTTATGGCTGGGGAAACTGAGACCCAAGCAATGACATGACTTTTGAAAATCACACACACAGTGGTAAAGCCGAGACTAGAAGTCAGTACTTTTTACCCTATGTTGTGTGGAATGGAGGTCCCTTTAGGAGACAGCAATGATGGGAGGGGGTGGGCGGGAAGTGCTGGGTGTTGCTGGTTCCCCTCATCATCTGCACTTCTTTGCAAGCAGAGTCGCTTACCCTGACTGTTGGCGGGGCCAGCTCTGGATCCAAGGGACCCTTGCCGTCTACACGGCCCTGCTGACCATTTCTTTCTTTCCATTCATACCATTATGACTTTATCTTATGACATTTATCTCCCTGTGCTTGACGAATGTTTCTCAAATTTTACTGTGTGCAAGATTCACCAGGAGAACATACCATAATGCGGATTGATTCCCCCTCCTGAGGACAGGGAAGTGTTGGGTGATCCTTAGGACCTGATGCAGGTGGCCCAGGGACCTCATCTTGTGAATACCCTGTACCAAACAGTTCCCTTAGCCACCCGATTGGTCTCCTGTCTCCATCCCGGGGTCATGTGTTTGTCTCCTGAGCTGCCAAACAGAGCTATAGTCATTCCGGGACACATATCTCTCTGTCACACCTCCAGGCCTTCACCCTTCCCACCCATCTGAAGCATTCCTTCCTTTGGGAAATCCTGAGACTTTTCAAGAACGAGGCCAAACACAGTCTTCCTTAGAAAGCCCTCTCTGATTTTTCTGGGAATCAAGTTCAGGGGCACAGTATGAATGAGGACATATGGCAGGGATCGGGAACAGCACCCTCCCCCGCATGATGCCCTTCAAAATCCTGGTGGACACCCCTCTGTACAAAGGGGTCAAAGATACCTCTTGAAGGTAGCAACACCCTGCACCAGCCAGTCTTTTCTTTTTAAAGAAACAGTCATTTTTGTCAAATATATATACACATAGTTTATTTAAAGAGTTTTAGTTCTACAAAATTTGTTATGGAAAATGGCAGGCTTCCATCCATCTTCCCTGTGTTTTTTTCCTCCCTAGAGGCAGACACTTGAAACTCTTTTGGCTGATTTTTTTTTTTTTTGATATCACTAAAGAATATGGTTCTGTTGATCCTATTTGATTTTTTTTTGGTTTCAGACTGTCTATTGACTTCCCATTGCAGAGAATAAGGATTTAACCTCCCGTCCTTCCCCTGTGCCTTCCACATATGCCCGACCCCCACGTTCTATTGTTCGCCCACTTTTTACAAAATGCAGTATGCACGTGGCTTGCCCTGCCTTGGTGCTGGGGGGGCTACGGGCCACCAGGTCAGAAATTTGGGCTCCTTCCTTGATTCCTTTCCTCTTTCTCTGTCTACTCTGTCTCTGACAAAACTCTTTTTTTTTTTTTTTTGACAAAACTCTTAAACTCATTCACTTCCTTCTGTTCCCATTGCCACAGTCCCTGCTCTGTCACCCTCATGTCTCTCTCAGAATACTGCAATTATGCTGGTCTCCTGGCTTCCTGTCATCCCTCCCTCTGCTTTCTTCTTTACCTTACAGCCAGACTGAGCCTCCTAAAGCACAGATTAGACCATGTGATTCTCGTGCTTGAAACTTTGAGTGCACTTCAGGGTCCATGGGGGAAATTTCAAATTCCTGAGCATGGGGAGGGCGGTGGGGTGGACCGAGAACTTAGTTGACCATAGCGCAGTGTCTTCCTGGCACACAGACTACAACTGCTTGCCATTCAGGTTGGGGCCACATTGAATTGTGAGGGCAAGGGACCATGTCATGTCCAGGTCCGGGAAGTTAAGAGCTCCATGCCCAGGATACCTCTTGTCTCTTCTGCAGGGGGCTTCTCAGGCCCATGTTCTAGAAGCTGCCATCCCAGGATGGAGGAGAGCTGCCCTATCCATCAGACTTCGCCTGAGTGAGAAATAAGTCTCTGTTGTGCTAAGCCAATGGAGCTTTGGGGCTGTCTGTCACTGTCGCATATGATAGTGCATAGTTCCGTCATGACCTGGAGTAGCACAAGGTACGTATGAGGCCCTTCGGTGTCTGGCCTGCCTTTTCCCTCTGATGTGATTTCTCTTCTCCTTTCCTCGGACTCTGTATTCCAGTGACGACATGCCAGGCTCTTACCTGCTCCAGGCTTTGCACATGCAGTTCTTGTTGCTTAGAATATCTCCCTGTTACACAGCCCCTCTTTGCCACCCATTGCCTGGCTGATCCCGACTCAACCTTCAAGCCTTAGTTTACATGTCTCTTCCTCTGAGGAGCTTGTAAGATTCCCCACTGCCTCCTGGGTGAGGTGCGCCTCTGCTATGTCCCTCAGCACCCCAAGCCTATCCTTCACTTTCCACCCCATCCCAAAGTTGCCAGTTGACTTTTGTCTCTGCCAAACCTGAGCATCCTTGTACACACCCTGCCCATTCTCTGTGGTGTCCTTAGGGCTGGTCAGGGTAGGTGCTGTTTTTTGTTTTGTTTTGTTTTGGTGGGAAGTTCCAGCGGATCTTAGAGGAAAAGTCATTGTGCAAAACTGCAATTCAGATTTCTTTTGCCAAGACTTTCTTGGTAACTTAAATTCCCGAGAGACTGTATTGGGTGGTCATTGGGGGAAATAGTCTATAGTCAAACACAGCGGGTCTGACTCTGGTCTTACTGGCTGTATAATGTTGAGCAAGTTACTTAACCTCTGAAGCCTCAATTTCATTATCTAAGGGGAAGAATAATAATAATAGTACCCACCTCACAGGGTCATTGTGGCAATGAAATGTGTGTGTGTGTGTGTGTGTGTGTGTGTGTGTGTGTATATGCACTTAGGACAATGCTTGCCCAATAAATGTCAAAAATATTAAGAATATCCTAAATAAGGGGCACCTGGCTGGCTCAGTCAGAAGATCATGCAACTCTTGATCTCAGGGTTACAAGTTCAAGCCCCACATGGGGTGTAGAGATTACTTAAATAAGTAGATAAACTTAAAAAAAAAAAGACAAAAAAAAACCCCTGCTCTCAGAAGATGGAAAAAACCTATAAATTGTGGAAAACCAATAAAACTTCAGAAATTACCAGTTGCAAAAACCAGAAGCCCTCTTAAAAAAAAAAAAAAAGAATATCCTAAATGCAAATGTGGGATTACATCCTGCAACAGAAAACGGGGGAAAACTAGTGACACCCACATGAAGTCTGAACTTAAGTAATAATATTTCAGTTTTGGAATTGCTCCCATTTGGGAGCTGAACCACTGTAATGGGATATAACTTTAGGGGAAACTGGGTGGAAGCTCTCTGTGCCATCTTTGTGACTTTTCTGCCGGGATGGAGCAGTATTATGATACTCATTTTATTCCTGCAATATCCCTGTATGAAGTAGGCACTGCGATGATGGCCATTTACAGCTGAAGAAACTGAGGCACAGGGAGGTGAAATAGCTTGCCCATGGTCACCCCTCACAGTCCATGTAATGGATGAGGAATGATTGGTGGGCTGGGGTTTCAGTAGAAGATGATAATGAACAGTCCCTGAGCCCCTACTTTGTGTGAGGCACCCCTGTATGCACCGTATCAACAGAGAGTCCCAGGCGGTCTCTGTCGTCACGCTCATTACAAGCAGGAAGCCCAGGTTCATGCAGGGATAAGGATAGAATCGGGAATAGGAACCTAGACCCAGATTCAGGAGTTCAGACTCCTAACCACTACACTGAACAGATCCAGGAGTCCCGTGGGGTTCCTGTGGGGTTTCGGGACAGCTGGCTTCATGGGCAGGGCCTTTGGTGGGAGACTTGAATGCATCTTTGGGCTTCTGCTCCCTTTCCCTTCCTCTGACCAGTCGGGGTGGGGCTGGGGATCACACTGGTATACATCTCAGGAAAGACAGCAGCTCGTAGTGCACGGGGCGCAGGCTTTGGGGTCAGGCAGCCTGGGGTTCAGCAGTCGTTCGGCTTCTTTTCAACTGTTTGATCCTGAGCTGGTTACTTGGCCTCTCTGAGCTTCAGGGAAACGAGGGTAACAAGGACCATGTGACCCCCCCACGTTGTCGTGGGGGATGACCCAGTTCGTTTTGTCTGTGGCTTGCATGATGAGCCCTGGGCTGTGTCAGGAAACATTTCCTGGGGAGGCTTCATGGGAAGTAGAGCATGTGGACTTTGGGGTGGCGGGCTGTGCTACTGACCAGCTGGGTGACCTCAGTCCCTTGTTTCTCCCGGGCTTCTATGTCCCACTGTAAACTAATGTCGGTATTAGAGAACTGTAGTGACGATCTTGAGATGGGGCGTGAGGCTGGCCGGGGGACGTGTTTGGTCAAGTTCCCTTGATGGCAGTTCTTGTCATTGTGTCTTGTGTTTTTCTCCATTTCATTCATTCATATTAATCTCCACTCATCCCAAGTTGTTTGCTCTTTGAGGACGAGTCCTCTCAATCTTATGCTTCTTGCATCCCTCTGCCAGCACTTCAGTTAGAGGCATAGTAGGTGCTCATTAAACGTGAGTTGGCCTGCTTTTGGGGTGGGCTTCCTGAGCATTTAGATGCATGCACCAGCTTTCTAGGCTTTTCCAAGCCATCCCGCTGAGCTCAGGGAAGTGTCCCTGCTGGTCGAGCAGGAAAGGACCAATTTGTGAAATGGCCACCACATATTTTATTTGTCTTACTAATAGGCTTTGCTGTCTAAGACAGCTGGGGTGGGGGGGAGCGGAAGGAGGAGGGCGGGAGGGAAGGCAGGGAGGGAGCCTGGGGAAGGCCTGTCAATAGCAGTCTCTGGCAGCTAAATCAGCTGAGGGAACCCGTCCTGGCCCGAGTCCGCCCTGTTTTGGAAGATGCGCCCGCTGTCATCCCCCCTCTGGCCGTGCTCGTCCTCGGCCTCGTCCTCGCTCGCCTTGCGCCGGGCGTTCTGGTAAAGCACGGCACACATGCCCGTGAGCCAGGCCGCCACGGTGCCCGCGGAGAAGATGCAGAAGCCGATGAGCAGCAGGAAGATGTAGTCCTGGCGGTCCAGGTGCGTGATGCACATGTACCGGAGCGGGTTCCCCACCTGCGTGATGGGCCACCCCGCCAGCTCGGCGGGCTCCACGCACGTGGCGTTTTGCTCATCTACGAGGAAAAACACAGCAGGCAGAGTGCTGAAAGAGAGCCCCCTCCAGGGTCCTCGGCCCGAAGGGGACTCGGAGAGGCCATTTGGACCCTGGCTACTCGGGGCGCGGTCTGTGGACCCTGCAAGCACCTGGCCCTCGTTGGAAATGCGCAGCATCTCGGGGCGCCTGGGTGGCTCAGTGGGTGAAGCATGTGCCTTCGGCTCAGGTCCTTGGGGTCCTGGGATCCAGCACCACCTGGGGCTGAGCCCTGCTCATTGGGGGGCTGCTATTCCCTCTCCCTCTGCCCCTTCCCTCCCCACCCCCACTTGTGCTCTCCCTCTCTCTTGCTCTGCTCTCCTGAATAAATGAAAACTTTAAAAGATTCAATTTGTAAAAATAAATAAATGAATGCAGGATCTCAAGCCCCCCCGCCCCCCCCAAGCTCCTGAATCTGTGTGTCAACGAGGTGATATGTGGGCACAGGAAGGTGGAGAAGTACTGCACCTGCACCCGCACTGCTTCTCGCCCCCTTGCCCCCCTTCTGACGTAGCTGCATTCAGGTTGCCTCCTGAAAATGGACTTCTCTTGTTTTCTTTTCTTTTCTTTTTTTTAAGATTTATTTATCTGAGTGAGAGGATGGAGAGGGGCAGGGGGGGGGGGAGAGGGAGAGAGAGAGAATCTCCCGCCAACTCCCTGCTGAGCATGGAGCCCGAGCAGAGCTCAGTCTCTTGACCCCATGAGATCATGACGTGAGCGGAGATCAAGAGTTGGGGGCTTACGGACTGAGCCCCCCCGCCCCCCCTCCCCCAGCAGCCCTGTGCTTGGCTCCTTATGGATCCCCAAGGAACAAGAAACCATAGCAGGGGCAGGGGGTTTGGAAACAAGCAAGCGCTCCATGGAGTGTTGACACTCCACAGACCCCCACCCACACCTGGCACCTCCCCCTCCGCTCTCCCTTCTTGGCTCCCACCTCTCCCCTGCACCTTGTCCCTTCCCCTTCACCCGGGCCTCAGTCCAGCCAGGGACCACGAGGGCATCACACCCGGCCCAGCTCTGGGCAGGGACAAGATTCCCTGGAAGTGCCTCCTGTGTGGTCTCCGCTCAAGAAGTCGGGGTGTGGGGAGCTCAGGGGAAGGGATAAGCAGTAGGGGAGGCCGTTCTGCTTCCCAGCGTGGGGAGGTTGGCATCACCGGCTCATCACACGATCTACGTTGAGTCTTCAGTCCTTTTTAGCAGCTGACTCAGCCGCCTGGCTTCTTTGAGCCCCTCCCTCTGTCAAATGCTATGGACTTGAGTGTGTAACAGAAAGCAAAGTGGGCTCCGGAGCCAGACACACCAGGGCTCAAATACAGACTGTCACTAATTGTGTGAATCTCGGCAGGATATCTATTTCCCTCTCTGAATCCCATTTTCTCATCTTACACATGCAAAGAATGTTACCTGCTTGCAGGGTGGTTGAGAGGACTTCATGGGCACAGGCGAGGAGGCAAAGCCACTGTGCCCGCTGCTCCGTGTTGCACACACAACTCAAAACTCTGCCCTCAGCCCTGCGTGTTCCTAGCTCCATATACTCCGCAGCGCTGATGCAGAAATGCCTCTGTGTGTGTGTGTGTGGTGCCAGGGGAAATACATCCAACAGGCATTACATAAATGAGCTCCAATGCAGGGTGGAGACCAGGGCTTGAGATAATCGTGCTTAAAAATTGTGACGGCAGCTAATATTTTCCCAGCCCCGACTACATGCTAAGCTGTATACGAAACGTCTTGTTTCATTCTTCTCACGACTTGGGCGTGCACGATACTGCTGTCCTTGTTTTGCACAGAAGGAAACTGAGCCTCCCAGAGTTTCTAGACGACCTGAAGGAGCTAGGCGGGAGACGAGGTACAGGAAACACAGACGAGCGGAGGCAGGAGACACAAAGAAGCTAGCGTGGACAGCTTCCCCTAAACTTTCGGGGAGATGCTCCAGGCTACGCAAAGGCATTCCTCTCCTCGGTGACCAAGGAGGTTGGGGAAGTCAGGTTTGGACTGGAGCTGGCAGCAGGGGAATTAGCGAAAGGCGTGCAGAAATGAGCGGGGTCGGGGAGGGTGGGGAGGCAGTTGGGCCTCGGTGGCTGGAAGGAGCTGACCAGGCCGAGTGCCGTCCAGGGCCCCTGCAAGCCGGAGAATGTTCCCCGCGCCTCACTTCTGTGCCGGGGCACCTGCAGTGAAGCCGTGGCTCTCAGGAAGACGGCCGAAGGCCACAATGCCTGGGAGACCTGGCTGGTGGCAGAGGATGTAGACACAGGACGGGAAGGCCGTGCACGGTGGTCTCCTCCACTGTGCGCACAGATTACAGAGGGGAGGAGAGGAAGCGGTCCTCTTGGGGGCCCCTGCCCCAGGGGGGAGCTCTCAGGACAGGAAAAGGGGTGGGGGCTCCATTACACTCTGTCAGGGGAGGGGGCAGGCACACGATTGCACCTGCAGTCCTCTCTCTCCACTCAGCCTGGCTAGAGGGCGTCGGGGCTTGGGTCAGCTCCCCAGACTCCAGAGACAGGACATGGGACTATACACAGGTGTGTTGGGGACAGGCAAGTGTGGAATTCTGTGGGCCTAGGGCTTATCTCGTTCTATTTTAAGAAGATTCAGCTTTCAACCCAGGGCTTGAGCGTCAGACTAAACATGAAACACGGCGTCCCGTTTGGGAGCATTACCTTGAAAGGGGCAATTAGCAGTGATTTTAAGGCTTTGTTAGGTTGCTCTTAAGTGTGGGCATGTGGGTGGCTCTGCGGGGAGGGAGGCCTGGGTTTTCCTACCGCTGTCTTCTTTCCCCAGTCACTGCCAAGGTGGGGGACCGCTTGTCTCCTGGCAGGTCCCCCTAACCCCACTCCCCCCGTTTCCCAGCTCCAGACTATTTCACACACACAAGCCAGATTTCCCAAAGCCCAGCTCTCCGCGAGGCCAACTCTGGCTGGAAACCCTCCTCCGCCTCCCCTGTAGGCCTGCGAGTGACATGCGGACGCCCTGGCCTGGCATTCAGAGCTCCCAGCGTCTGCCCCTTTCCACGTCGCCACCACCCTCCCCGCTTCTTAGCGCGTCTGTGACTCACCCTTGGCTGCGCTCAAATTAAACTATTAATTCCTTGATTGCGTCTTGCCTGTCTTGCCCGTTGCTACACTGCTCTTTCTGTGTCGAAAGCCTCTTCCTTCAGTGTTTGCCCGGATCAAGAGCTTCCTGTCCTTCAAAGTCTGGTGTGACTGTGGTGCTCCCAGGAGCACTCCCGCTGGCCTCTCATCCTCAGAGCTCAGACCACCTGTGATCGCCCCTCCCGAGCCCGCCCTGGCACCCTTCCTGTGTCTCTGGCAATCTCCCTTCTCCCTCGCTCGGGGGCTGCTTGCCAGAGGAAGAGCGTATCTTTTCTCCTCAAGCAGACAGACAAAACTCTTGAAGACGTAAATCCGTGTCTGATCATTCTTGTTCCTGTTAATAAGACGTATCCTTCATTGAAGGAATACTTAATTTGAGGGGGATTTTCTGGTAATATTTTTATTGTTGAATTCTATCGTTCTACAATGGCCAGAGACATTCTCTCCATGATTTCAGTCCTTCGAAATGTTTTGAGGGGGCGCCTGGGTGGCTCAGTCGGTTAAGCACCTGCCTTTGGCCCAGGTCATGGTCTTAGGGTCCTGGGATCGAGCCCTGCATCAGGCTCCCTGCCCCATGGGGAGTCTGCTTCTCCCTCTCCCTCTGCCCCTTCCCCCTGCTTGTGTGCTCTCTCTCTCAAATAAATAAAATATTTAAAAAAATTATTGAGAATTTGCTTTATGGTTGAGCATAAAGTCATTTTTAGTAAATTTTGCATGTGCCTCCCCCCACCCCGGCCCGCCGGAAAGTGTGTATTCTGTTTTTGCTGACTCTGTCATTCTGTGGATGCCAATTAGGTTGTGATTTTATACAGGTCTTCTGTATCTTTATTGACTTTTTTTTTAAAGATTTTATTTATTTATTTCAGAGGGAGAGAGACAGAGAGAGCAGGGGGAGGGAGAAGCAGACTCCTCACTGAGCAGGGAGCCCGACATGGGGCTTGATCCCAGGACCCTGAGATCATGACCTGAGCTGAAGGGAGACGCCCAACCAACTGAGCCACCCAGACGCCCCTTGACTTTTTTTATTAATATCTTTACTGGCTTTTCTTTTTAATCTATAAAAACTATTATTTCTTGGTTACTACTAGTCTATTAATTGTCTATTAGCTACTGGGAGAAGGATGTGTAAGTCACCCGTTTTGATTGTGCATTTACCTACTTCATATATTTCTGTCATGTTTTGCTTTACATATATCGAAGATATGTTATTAGACGTGTAGAAAGTTCCTCCTGTTACCTGTTCCTGGTAGATTTGCCCTCTTTTCACTGAGCAGCATCTCATTATTTCCAGTAATGCTTCCTGCCTTAGAGTCTACTGCCTTTGACATTAGTAAGGCTCCATCAAATATCTTTTGGTTAGTATTTGCATTGTTTATCTTTTGCCATCCTTTTACTTTTAATCTTTCTATGTTCCCATATTTAACAGATGTTTTCTATAAGCAGCATGTAGCTGGGTTTTGTTTTCCATCCAATCTAGCAAAGTTTGTATTGTAATTATTCCATTAACATTTAATGTTAGGGATGCCTGGGTGGCTCAGCGGTTGAGTGTCTGCCTTCAGCTCGGGGCATGACCCCGGGGTCCTGGGATCTAGTCCTGCGTCGGGCTCCCTGCATGGAGCCTGCTTCTCCTTCTGCCTGTGTCTCTGCCTTTCTCTGTGTGTCTCTCATAAATGAATAAATAAAATCTTTAAAAAAATTTAACATTAGACTGATATGTTTTCAACCTGTCCCATTTATTTTATGTCTCTTTCCTCTACTTTGTTGCCTTTTATTTTATGATTTCATTTCCTTTTCATTAGTTTATTAATCAAACATTCTTTTCCTATTCTGTCCTGATGACATTAGAGACTATAGACCCATCTACTGATCTCGGAGTGCGTGCTGGACATCAGAG